GTGTGGAAACCCCTTAATATTACGGAAACTAAGCATTTTTGAGAAAAATGTTTCAAACAAAAATTGTAGGGTTTAAAAAAATTTATTTACTAATCACATCGGTTTGATTTTGAATGGTGTCACCAAGGTCAAATCAAGGTTACATCGATTTTTTTTAATAGAACACCCCATTTTTTATTCCAGAATCTAAAAGCTAGTGCCAAGAGTTTTTCAAAATGCTACAATAAAGTTATTTTTTATTAAGTTTCGAATTATAAGGCTTTAAAGTTATAGTACCGCCGACATTTGCATTACGCAAGGTATCTGACCAATGACTAAAACCTCTTAAATATCGTTCAAGATCATGTCCTAAATAACATTTATTAAGATCAAGGCCATTGGAGATTATTACTCTTATTTCCATTTTTGCACTAAAAATTCATTTGTACCTAAAAATGAAAATAAGAAGTACAACCTCCAATGGCTTAGACCTTGACAAATATTATCCTAATTTAGACACTGTGTCAAAAATAATTCTTACCGCCAAAAAATTTTTTTAAGCATGCAAATTTACATTAAAAACTCCGAATTATACTTGCAAGGATTGATATCACAAAATACGGAATCTGAAAATATTTACCATACATAGGCTTACAAAAAGATCCAAATAACAAAGCATCTATGATGTATTGCAAAAAAGTTCCTTTCATAAGTGAATGTAATTTTATGTCACTGTCATTTCTGGAATAATAACACTCGAATAATTTTAACATCTTTTTTAATTTCAGTAACATCGTATATATTCATGTTTGTGAATCTGGCACCTCCACCAAAAAAAAATTCACCCATATGCCATAATTAAGTGTTAATTTAGTGCTAATTTATTGCTCTAGTCTTAAATTTGGTGCTTCTTTCCATTCGCGAGAAATTAATTTCAAAAGCGAGAGTGCTGACTTCACGTTACGCTAGCTTCCCCCCCCCCTTCCTCCACTTTCGTTTAACACATACAGAGCACTGTAAACAATAAAATACATATAATAAAGTTTTTTGCTACTTTTTTACTCTAAGATACTGCAAAGAAAGTTCGAGAATTTTGAATAATTATACTTACACCAATATTAGTCACTATACGTGCGCTAGCACCGTGACACTTCTGGCGAGATTTTTTAACTTAAACAGTGAGCAATAAATTCAGAATCGGGATATTCTTGGAGCAAATAATTCTAGAAATATTTTAAGATAAAAAAAATCAACTATTGTGAATTTATTGCTCATTGTTTAAATTACAAAATGTCAATTTATAGTGTGACAATGCTAGCTTGCGTACAAGAGTAAAGTACATGAAAGCAACTAATTGTTGAGTCAATTTTGGTTTCAAAATGTTTCTAGAATTATTTGCTCTAAGAATATCTCGATTCTAAATTTATTGCTCATTGTTTAAGGTAAAAAAGTCAACAGTGTGGGAATGCTAGCTCACATACAAGAGTAAAGTACATGAAAGCAATTAATTTATGGGCCAGTTTTGGTTTTAAAATGTTTCTCATTTATTTTGTTAAGAATATCCCAACTCTCTCTCTCTCTCTCTCTCTCTCTCTCTCTCTCTCATTGTTTAAATTAAAAAATCTCATCAGAAGTGTCGCGGTGCTAGCGCACGTAACTGATATTGGTGTAAGTATTTCAAAATTCTCGAAGTTCCTTTGTAATATCTTAAAGCAAATAAGTAGCGAAAAATTTTGGTATACTATATGTATTTTGTTGTTTACAGTACTCTGTACGTGTTTTATGGAAGTGGGGATGCTAGCGTAATGTGAAGTCAGTACCTTCACTTTTGAAATTAATTTCTTAAACGGAAAGAAGCATAAAATTCGGAACTAGAGCAATAAATTAGCACTAAATTAACACTTAATTATGACATACGGGCGAGTATTTTTTTTGTGGTGGGAGTGCCAACTTCACAGACGTTTTATATTCTTGTTGTACTGATGATCATCAAGACTTGACCGAACCGTCTACTTTATTATTAAAATTTTAAATATACGACTTTTATTAAAAACATCTTGCATTGTGGCTGTGTGGTCTGTATTATTTATGTTTTGTATTCTTAAGCCATCTCTAAAAGTTAAAAAAAAAATTATTTGTTCTGTATTTTTGTAACTAATCATCAATGAATCACAATCGCCCATTTTTAACATTACCAATGCAGTCTACTCAGTGCACAATTTGCATAGAAAACCGTTCCGAATTCACAAGCGCTTCATATGTGTTATGCATGCATTGAAAAAACGGAACAATTTCGAAGTGTTACACATCAGTATTGCAGTCCACGCGCTTCATGAGTAACTCGGAAGTTGGAACGCACCCAGAGTTGATAACAGTGATGCGCAGACAGAGAGAAGCCCCTGCGCATCCCCTCTACTCGACTTTCGCTTGACTCGTCTTGATTTTGGTTGATCACTGATCGATAGTTCGATAGATAATAACTTGATCCGAGAACGGCTTTCTCATGTCGGTCGTGTTCAGTCTTGTCAGAACTAATCGGAAAGTAAACGGTCGAGAGATTTAAAGTCTCGTCTACATTTAAGGCTGCATTCCGTTTCACACATAATGTGTATGATGTATAATTTTATCCTTGTTTGACACTCGGTGAAAGTCGAGAATAAAATGATACATTATGTGTATTATGCGTGAAACAAAACGCAGCCTAAGTCAGCTGATGCTTGTCGGATGTCGTTAGTCGTAAAAGATGGGACCTGACCAAACCAAACGACGCCCGGCAGCCGACATTGACAGCCGACACAAAAAGTGAAGATTATACGCATGCACACAACATACGACGTCTCCCGATTGTAGACTAACCAGAGAGAATCAAAAGAGAGTGGAGCGGATAGCATTCTCTTCTCTGACTGGTTCCGCCATTTTTCCGTTCACTTCCGCAAATGTGCATGTGTGCATGTACGTATATATACATACACACAACACTAGTGCGATACAATACTAGTATGTGCAACACCATATGTCCCATCACGCTTCTACCATATCTTCTACTCACTCCAACAAATGGTGGCTTCTGGCTGAATCCGTTTTACTCTCCCTTGATTCTCTCTGGGCCTAATGGCTGTTTCATTCTTTTAACGAACCGTTAAATCGAGGCATTAATACATGGTAATAGTTTAACGTTTTTCCAATATTGCGTGGCATCGATGTAGCTACTTGACATAAACATTGATTATTTTTTGTCAATACAATATAAAGTATTATATCTGCAACATGTCTGATCAATCTGATTGTGATACACATACAGGTAACATATATAGTACACTCACATATTATCAGATAAAGTTTCTTCAAGTAACAACAACAAATAATAATGTTAACACATATTCAACTGCGAACACTTTGGGTCATTTACCAACTTACTTGCCTAATTATTTTAAAATTAAGAAAATTAAAGAGATTGTGGAATGCATACTACGAGGGTCGTTTGAAAAGTCCGTGCAAAGTCACTGCTGATGGCACTACTGGCGCGTATCAAGGTTAGATTTAGTTAGTAGCATCTCTTGGAGGAACACACACCAAGTTACAGCCAGATCGGTCTATTTGTTTGTGTTTGGCATTCATTTGAATCGAGGAAGTCGAGGGGGGTTTGTTTCTGCAATCACGTCCTCGTTTCCATAAAATCTTTTTCCCGCCAGCCATTTCTTCATATTGGGGAACAAATAGTAGTCCGAGGGAGCCAAGTCTGGAGAATAGGGGGGATGTGAGACGAGTTGGAACCCTAATTCCATTAATTTTGCGACCACAACTGCTGAGGTGTGAGCTGGTGCGTTATTGAAAATCACTCGACTTCCTCGATTCAAATGAATGCCAAACACAAACAAATAGACCGATCTGGCTGTAACTTGGTGTGTGTTCCTCCAAGAAATGCTACTAACTAAATCTAACCTTGATACGCGCCAGTAGTGCCATCAGCAGTGACTTTGCACGGACTTTTCAAACGACCCTCGTATGCATTTGTTCAAAAATATTTTCAACCGCCCTTAAACAGCATGGAAAATCTGTATAAACATTTAAGAGTTAATATTTTTATACGTCATTTGAAATTATTATATGTTATTTAAGTATTTTCATGTGTTATATAGTACAAATCTTTTTTCTTATCCTTCAAGACAACATAGAATATTTATAATAAAAATTTATAAATATTATTCATTTTTTGAAACATATAAACATTTTATATATTTTTTAAAATATTCGAAATATTAAGGTTATATAGGATAAATGCTTCATATAATATTTATGATATATACATATAACTAAAATTTCTAGTAGATATTTTTTAATAATAAATAATTTTATTAAGACCATAATGTAATAAATACTAATTGTAAGTAAGAATATTCAAGCTTATAACGGTCGAAGCTAGATCTTTCATGCTTTTTTAAATAATTCAATGTGAATTTTATATATATACGAGATCTGTTCAAAAAGTATCGCGAATTTTGAATTTCCGCGGGTTACGTATATTCGATTTTCGATTTTTTTGTGGCGTTATGTTGGTACTCATGTCTCTCACTTATGCCGACAAGTTCGGCCATTTTGAATGTTCAATTAATTTTTGACAGCTGCTTTGCTTGCACGTGTTTTGGCTCGTCTTCGATTTTTGCCTATTCCAAAAAATGGATCAAAGAATCTGTATCAAATTTTGTGTGAAAAACAAAATTAAGTGCGCGGACGCATTCCGAATGTTGACTGTGGCATATGGTGAAGCTACCTTGGACCGAAGCAACGTTTATCGGTGGTACAAAATGTTCTCAGAGGGCCGAGAAGATGTGAACGACGAAGAGCGTGCCGGA